TTTTTTTTTTTTTTTTTGTGCGAGTAAGGCACAATCTGGACAACTGGTTCCCCCTAAAAAGGATACTGGTTTGGATACAAGGAATGCTTGGAATTTCATAGGATTTCCAAGATTTTTGGTAGTAGCAGATTCCGGCAGTAATTTTAAGCTACCTTTCAAGGAATTTCTGGGCAGGAACTTGCGAACGTGGCCTCATTTGTGTGGACACGTGCTCCATTAAACCAATAGCCAATTAGCAAAACATTCATTTCTCCATTTCAATGTCAGCAGAAATATTAAATCCTTGGTGGCTGGTGCTTTGTCCTCTGTCCAGCAAACTGTGAAGGGGTTGCATGCACAATTAGGAGTAAACATATAACAAGCATAAATACAGCTTTCAAATTCCCTGCTGCTTGTTAAAAAGCAACCTAGCCTTGGCATGAGTTTACACGTCTAAAGATAAATACCTCACTTTAAGCTTACTTTTATTTTTAAAAAAAGTTAGCTGTAAGCTTTAATAATTGCCAGTTGCAGATCTAAGTCAAGTCACAAAATTGGGAAGGCGGGGCGGGAGGCGGGCAGAATTCTGTGCACTTGCACACACTGTTCTCTTACCCAGCTCCTCATCTCCTTTTCCTTTTCCCTCCTTACTCTCCCATCACATATCCTAATTTCTCCTTCTTTGCCAGCTGCAGTAGGACAGAAGTGGTATTGTGTATATAATTTTTAGGGAACAAATCAATGTAGTGCCATTGTTTGATAAGCATTCCATGGTGGATATTTATCATGAAAACCTATACCAACAAAACTAGCGTCATGGATCCGTTTAACCACTAACATGTTTAATAGTGCCTTGACCATTCTGAAGTATGGCTTAGTCTTGTGTATGGACAGCACCATGCCATGTTTTAACTAAAGCTGTTTGTATCAGAGCTGAGACAAGTTCTTCAGGCAGTCTACTCATAAACGTCAAAACAAACCCTGTTCCCATGGTCAAGGAAACTGAAAGAGACTCCTCCAACAAGTAAGAAAGATTTGTAGGTGATATTTTTCATAGGATGACCTGCTAGTTTTATAGGACTAACATCTCTCCCAATGTTAGACAAGCTTTCAGGCACAAAGTATCCTGCATCAGGTAGGTGGTCATTCTGGTCTGCCGAGAATCACTCAGAACCTGAACAGTTCTGAAGAAGAGCACTTTGGGCATTTTTACATGCGTTTTGGGATGCAGCACCGGGTGCTTTAATTAGCAAGCCACGCTAATTAAAAAGTGCCTGCGTGTCACATGCATCTGCATCCCCAGGCTGGAAAAGTGGCGGCAGGCACTTTGACCTAAAACACATCGACCGTGTTTATTTCAAAGTGCCCCACCACCATTTTGTCAGCATGGAGATGCACAGGGACGCTGATACATGTGATGCAGAAGGCTGCCAAAGCACGTCGATTTCTGTGCTCTAGCAGACTCGATTAATCAAGTCCGCTCCGACATGCTGGATTTCCAGCGCGTCAGAGCAGCCTCCCCACACGTCTATAGGAGCCCTTAGTACCCAAAAGCTTGTCTAACATTGCTTTCAACTAAACTTTTAGTGGATCAACAATAAATCACCAAAAAAAACTACCCTTACTTTTTGCATAATTCCTGGACCATCAAAACACAGAGACACACACACAACACCATGATTTGTGAAAGTTTTTATTCTAAGGATCAAAACAAAAGAAAAATAAAGAAAAACGAGACTGCTTTAATTCACATTTTAATACAAAAAAAGTAAATGGTCAAGGCAAGCTTGTATTTGTACCTTTGGTCCTGCAGCAGAAATGATGATCTGGCCTGGTGGCTGGATCCAGGGCTCTCCATCTACTTGGACAGGGATTGGTTTCAGAAGCGTGATACGGAAATATGACCCTTGGGCTATGCGAATCCCTGATCGCAGACCACCCTGTACTTGACCCTGTTGGAACAGCAAATTAAGGTTTCCCTTTATTTTTAAAATCTTCTTAATGATAAAGAACCAAGTAGAGACAATGCTGTTCTTTCAAATCATTTTCAGTGGTGGGGTACACCTGAGTTTCTTGTTGTATATGTTTTTTAATCCCAAAAGATTCCAAAATGATGACCCAAAGTTTTAGTAGCAAAAACTGCAAAAAAGGAAAAATTGTTCTAAATACAAATATGCAGGGTAGATCACTGAAATGGTTCCACACACAGTCCTTACGAATTTATGCAGAGCACAACTGAAACCAAAAAGGCACCTCAAGCAGAGTCATTTGTCAGAGTGTGATCTAAATTTGTTAGGAAACCCCAGAAAATGCAAAGGCGGCATAACTGCTGAATGATTACTTTTCCTCAGCCTTCAACTGCAACCAGACAACTAACAAAATTAAAATAAATGAAGTACGGGGAGTGGCTACAGACTGCTTTTGAAATTTGAATTAAATATATTAGGTGGTCCTGACAGAATTTATCTACGTACTGGAAAAGGACTAACGGAGTGCCTATCTCTGAAGGGAGGAAAAAGGACGAACCTGGGAAGTTATAGATTGGTCAGCCTGACTTCAACAACTGGGAAGTTACTAGAGTAAATAATCAAACAGGCTATTAACAATACATCTGGAAAGGAAGAGGTTACCATAAGCAGACACTATGGATTCGTCAGGGTTGTTTGGCATGATTTGCTCTCAATTTCCTTTGATAAGGTAACTGGTTTCATGGATCATAACATTCATATTTTTGTGCAATCGGCTCTTAACAGTTTCCAAGGATGGCACTTCCACAATCTCTCTAGGTAACCTGTTCCAGTTCTCAGCTACCCCTCACAGTTAAAAAGTTATTTTTGAACAGTTTTCTATTTATAGTTTGGAAAGTCTTTTTTTCCTGTTGCTTATAACATGCCCAAATTTTAATGTCACCACATAGCTCTGTCTTTTAATTTTTCTTCCTTAAAAAACTGTCTGTACTTCCTTTGCACCCCCCGCCCCCTGTGTACACACAAATACACTCCCTCCCCTTATTTTTTGCATATACATGCACCTTTCCCCCCAAATTCAGCTGCTGGAAATGATGGTGCCTTATAATCAAGAAAATATGGTAATGCTTGAACCTCTGCTGGGGCAAGTGAAAATAAAACTGCACATGCTACACACTGGGCTCTGTAGCTGTTGGCAGTAGACAGCTTTTCTTTTTCCCAGCCAGACCCTTTTTTTTTTTTGTTGCCTTGCATAAACAAGGTGCATGTTTTACTTGAGTGCATGCTGTATGTAATAAAAAATGGCATTTCTTATCTTAAGTTTTACAATCAATTTCTGCATTTCTTGCAAGATCCAAACTTCAGTCAGTGCACAGATAAAATGGGAAGTGAGGCATGGGCCCCGTTAAAAGCCTTCATGTCTTAATGTAATAAAGAACTACAGTAAATGCAGTACAATACAGTAGTATAACAAGGGATAATGTTGCAATTGAAAATACCAGCAATGGCATTTCTTATGCAGGTGCAAACTGCCATATAACAGCATACAAATTGATTCATGTAGTCCAGGAACAGCCATTTCAGCCAAAGAAACAAGAATGCTAACAATGGACAGTTATAAAATTTCTTCCTGACCATCCCAGTTAATGGCTCATTCAAGCCAAAACCCTAAAGTATATGGCCACTTCTTAGTTTTATTTATTTATTTAAGTAGTTAAGATAATTGTGGTTGTTCTCAAAATAAGTTCAAAGCCTAGACGTTAATTCTAGTAAATGCTTGGCTATAATATCATTTGCTGACTTAATCTAATAACATTCCACAAATCTATGCATTCTGAAACAGTTTTTAAAATTGGTGTTACCCTTTAAAATGTTAAACTTTTTTTTACTGAGAAACATAAGAACATGATATAAGAACTTGTGCTTCTATCAGAAGCAAATTAAAAAAGCAGATCTCAAAAATAACTTGGTTTTAAAATTAAGCTGAAACAGTGTATATGATGTTAACATACTAATCATTCAGAATTTAATAACAACAGTCTCAAGAAAATAAAAAAGTCCACTCAGGTCACTTTTACCACTTAGTTTTCAGCCCCTGAATATGCTGCATCTCCTTGTAGCTGAAGATGGATATAAACAAGTGCTTGATTTACCTTGTATGTACCATTCGTTGCTGTGTGTAACTAACAATGGTTTTATGTAAATATTTCAGGATTTGTTTTGAAGCCTACTAATATTGCTGAAGGCTTGCCTACACGGCCTCCATGCTTTGCCTGTGGCCACCTCTGAGAAGCATGCCCTGCTCGCTTGCTCCCACTGAGCACAGGTCACGTCCCAACAGCCATGCAGTGAGTGCACCAAGCAGCACCCCTGACAGAGGGCCTCTGGCCACTTTTGAGGAATACTTAGGGCCACCACAAGATGGCCACAGTGCCTTGTTTTTAGAATCTGACATTAGTCAAGAACCAGCAGGCACGGCATACAAGGCGCACTTTCACATGTGGCAAGGAGGCAGCATAGGCAAGCCTGAGAGATCTTCTACATTACTGAGGGTGTGGACACATCTAACAAGTGAATCATCCACAAATGTCACTGGGAAATAATTCACAACTGTTGCAGATCAGGGTGCTGACACAACTGAACTGCTCCCAAACATCACTCAGCACCAGTTCACAATTGTCACAGGCCATAGGTATCTATGCACACAATGCCCTTGCATTTCAGTGGGAACAGTCACCTTTTAGGCACTGAAGTGTAATAGTTCAAACTGTGGGGGAAGGCAAAGAGCACTTTCACCCTGCTTTGGGGGCCCCAGGTGGTAAGTGACCTGTGGCTGGGAACATTTCCATTTTTCTGCTTTCCCTGCTCCCCTAAACTTGAGTTCAATAAAGTTCAGTAGCCTGCACTTGACCAAACTCTGCAGTGCGCTTCCTTGATTTGGGGTTCCTGTGGAGAGAAGGGGGGAGTGCTTGGACCCACGTTTTTGCATTTCTAGGGCAAGGATGATGAGGGGGATGTGGTTGGGTACAGAGCGAGAACACAGCTGCTAGTCAGAAAGAAAGCTTTTATTGAACAAGCAGTGCAAGGGAGCTCATGGATACATATTTCCAACTAAAGGGAAAAAAGTTGGGGGAGGAGTCAGTAGTGCCTGTGTGTGTTGCAGGGTGAAGAATGTTGCAGTAAGGAATGCCTGGAAGATTTCCACCCCGCTCCCTCCGGGTGCCACTTTCCTGCACAAATTCAGGGAACCGGGGACACCCTGACCGACTACTGCACAGCCTGAGTCTCCTGGGCAGCAGCAAGCACAGGGGAAGAGGCAGGGAATACCCACCCCCCACACACTTTGTTCCCCAGCATACCAGGCTGCCCTGTGGCTGGAGAGGGTGTCGCTGGCTCCCTGCATTTGTGCAAGGAAGTGCTTGCTGCTGCCTTGGAGGCGTGGGGGGATGGCTGGGTGGAGCTCACTGCTCTTTTCCAGGAAAGTGGGGGGAATTTTCCCATCCCTCCCCAGCTTGCTGCTGTGCCAGAGACCCGGGCTCTGCTCCAGCCTGGCAGGGTGTCCCCAGCTCCATGCATGGGTGGAAGGACCTGGGGGAGGATTTTTCCTCCCCCTCCACCTCATTTCCCAGGGAAACCCCCAGGTTCCTGGAGGCTGACTCCTTAGCAGAGTCATCTAATTCTTTCAGTGGTGCTGCTTACTGGTGACAGCCTCTCTAGCTGGTCAGCAGCAGCAGGGAAAGCTGTTATTCCTTTTTCCCTCCTCCTAACAGCCTGCCCTATGTATATGCAGCTGTGCACATGGTGCAACATCTTCATCGTGCAAGGAAGCAATGCCACGATTGGATTAACATCTACAGCCACCCTGCCATACCTTGTTGAAGCCAGACACGTGAATGAAGATGTCAAGAGCAGATCACATATGTCACTGAACCAACCTGAGTCATATGCAAAATTCTGAGCACGTCACATAATCATCCCTGTGTATACAGGTAACTGATACCATGCAGGAATACTATTTTATTAGCAGTACTAGCTCCATGCTGCACCAAATGTACACTTCCTGATCAAGCTAATAGCATAACTATAATATAAATTATTTATTCATATAAAACTTAGGATTCAAAATCTTCCAATTGTCCCATTTTAGAAACTAAACCAGTTTTAAAAGAAGTCTTTTGAACATAAGTGCTTAGTACTAGTTGAATGAATGAATATCCATAGTTCTTGGTACTTCTTGGAATCAAACAAACAAAAACAAAGTAAATCTTATACCGACTTACCATGTGAACAACACCAGTTACACCAACAACTTCTAGTAAGCCATCATCCATTTGTGGTTTCTCAAATCGATTATCATGATCTGACCCCCAAAGATCAGCTCCAGATCCCCAACTGTTCAGAGAGCATAAAAATGCTGTTATTGTGCACATGTTGGGATCTGATATACAATACCCAAATATTTACAACCATTTTGATCCATTTCAAAACAACACTGAATAAGGCTGACATGCTGCTTTTCCTCAGTCAAGGAAGATCTAAGAAAGCATCACTATGTAGTTTACTGTTCTGCGTCACGGAGTACAATATTTACATTCATAAAAATTTGAAATACTCTTAATAACTTTGGTAGCAGTGGGGAGAAAGGTAGGTATATTTTTAATGGCAGGAAAACAGATAGGAAGAAAGTAGCACTGAAGTGCTTTGGGTTTCAAAGAACTACAGCAAAACTCTGCTTGAATACTGAAGATAACTATAAGGCCCCTCCTACACGTTACCTATATTATGCAATTAATTGGTTAATCACATAATAAATTTAGACTGGCCACATGCGCAAAGTAATTATCACGCCATAAAAAAGTCTATCCAGCTATAAAAAGAGCCAACTAGCTACAGAGTTAGTTCTTGAAACTGTGCAACAATCTTATAGCTAGTTTCTATCCATCTTTAATCTGAATGTGTAGCAGGGCCCTTAGTTTCCTAGATCTTGAAAATATTAATAGGCTTTAGATTTCAAGAGATGTAATACTTTAGGGTAAGGATTTGCAACCTATAGCTCACAGAACAGATTTGGCACACAGAGCCCTTGAACAAAATTGATCTAACAGAGTTGAGGATCTTGCCTCACGAACATTTGATAGCCAGAGATATACATATATAAATAAAGATATATGGTATATCCTGATCACCAAATTTCTAACCCACACATCATAGTTCTTAGAATATTAGAATAGTACCATAATTATTAGAGTATGGCTCTTAAGTACAAAGATGGCCACCTTAATGAGCATCCTTATACATACATACGTAAGACATGTGCATACACAGATTTTCTCTCATTTTTACCTGGGAATATTAATAAAAATAAGTCCTTCAATACTTGGTAACTCAACTTCAACCTGGTCCACCTGAAGTTTTAGGTCTTTATGGAGGTTTCTGGCGTGACTTATCTTCTGCAGTCCAACTTTTACATACACACCTTTGTTGTGAAACCTAGGATCAAACAACATCACACTCTATTATTGTAAACTCAGACATAATAGTGTGGCACAATTTTATACACAATGAAAACTAACATTAACTTGTAGGTAGTAGTGGACTCACACCTTGAAGTGCTCTAGCCACAGCAGTAGAGTGGAGAGCCACTTTAATGTGGGTTATGTTAGCTCCCACGGCAGAAACTATTCAGCACCTTCATAAACATTACTTGGGCATAAATCAACCCAAACATTTTAAGCAGCATTTCATTAGAACATCATTTAACATGCTTATACTTTTCCTATCCCAGGTATACATTTGGACTGATATTTTTAAATGAACCAAGTAACAGGTTAAAATAACCCAAGCAGACAGGATAAATTGCATCTTTAACATTACTGAACTCTAGCAGCCTTCCCCCCGACATCAACCGTCAAACTGCAAGAAAAGCTCACAGAAAAATTAAACACTGAAAAGTTGGCTACAGTACAGGGCTATGTTTGCAAAGAAGTTGTTGAATTCCATAACATCCAAGAAAAATATCACAAACACTGCTGGGTCCACAGAGACTGATGAGTTGGACAACAACTTAGTTATTACACACCACTGCATTGGTTTATACTATTCACATTTTAAAGGGTATTGTCACATTGGGGACTAAAATTTTGTGCATAGAATTTGCAGCACAGTTCTACAGTAGTGGGTGAATTTCATGGAGTCCTGCCAAGATCCCCTCTATCTGAGCAGTATAATCTTTCTACCTCAGTCATCTTCCAGGATTTGTTTCTTTTTGGGAGTAAACCAGAAAGTAATTTTGCCTTTCAAACACAGCAAAAACAATTGCTCAATAAAAAAGATTAGGGAACAACCTGCGAATACATTACCATGCAGTAACTTGCAACAAAACAGCCATAATTTTGTTCTGTGCAGGACTTTTGATCTGAAATACATTTCATGGAGTCTGTTTCCTTCACTTTTTATACAAACAAGCGTTCATGTAGTGTTTTTTCCCAAATACTATTTCATTTTCCACTCCGACTGATAATTGCCAAAGAGTAAAACACCAAGTAATGCTTACTGAAAGGAAAACAAACTGGGCAACTACAGTGCAATGCATATAGTAGTCTCTAACAGGGTCAGAAAGGGAGTATAAAAACAGTAGGTATGGCCTGATGTGGGGGTTGTTGCAAACAATACTTTAAAAAATAGACTAATGCGATAGACTAGGTGAACGAACATGTGGCTTGGTAACATAGAAATGTATCAAATAATTGTGCAACTGGGAACCTTTTCCATACTCATTTTAAATCCTTAGCTTGACACCTACACCTGGCAGTTAGTTCACTAGGAAAAAACGTGTAATAATGACTGACAGTTGCACCAGCTGGAATGCATGTTAAAAAAAGCTACCATGAAACAGCAAGTCACAGGACCTATTTTAGGCTTAAATGGAACCTTGATTAGTCACTACACAGCATTAATACTGTAGAAACTACGATACTATGGAACTAGAGAAGGGAAACCAAAATGATCGGGGACATCAAGCAGTTGCCATACCAGGACAGACTAAAATGCTAGGAGTCTTCAGTTTGGAAAGAAAAGGCTTAGATGGGGAATACAATAGAAATCTATAAAAGCATGAAGGGTGTAGACCAAGTGAACAGGGAACTATTGTTCACCAAGTCCTGGAATACTACAACTAGGGGGCATCTGTTGAAATTAATAGGTGATGAGTTTAAAACTAACAAGAGAAAGTACCTCTTTTTATATAACACATAGTTAACTTCTGGAATTCATTGCCACAAGAGGTGGTGGAAGCAAATGGCATAGCTAGGTTCAAAAAGGGCCTGGATAAATTAATGGATGATGGAACTATTAGTGGCTATTGAACAGAATGGTTTTCTAGGGTCAGAAGGGACCTGAACAGATCGCCAAGTCTGACCCCCTGCCCTGTGCAGAAACAAGTGCTGGGATCATAATACCCCAGCCAGATATCTATCCAACCTCCTCTTGAAGGCCCCCACCTCCCTTGGGAGCCCATTCCAGAGCCTGGAAGCCCGAACTGTAAAGTAATGCCTCCTGATATCAAGCCTGAACCTGCTCTCAATCAATTTGTGACCGTTATTCCTTGTTATCCCAAGTGGTGCCCAAGGGAACACAGCCTCACCTACTTTCCGCTGGCCCCCCCGGTGAGTTTAGACAGCCACCAGATCCCCTCACAGTAGCTGAAGCTTTTCTAATTTTTGAGATGTGGAGACCAGAACTGCAGAACTATATTCAAGATGCAGGCACACCATGGATTTATATAATGGCATGATGATGTTCTCTGTTGTATTTTCAATTCTCTTCTTAACAAAACAAACCACCAGCCCAGATGGACAACCTACTCTATTAAGCTTATTTACTTATTGTTCAGAACAAAAAGGAGTTACAAAAAGCATGAAAGCAGAATGGAAACCATTTCTTGCAAATAGAAGTGAAAGGGAAAAATGTGAGATGAGAAGTGAAGGACTCTGTAGCAGAGAGGTGTTTAAAAACCCATGGGAAATAATGAATGTGTACAGCAGAAAAAAACTTTAAAACACTGAAGATTTTCACTGCTGCTAACAAATGCCTTAAGACTCTAAGCCATGGTGACACATACCTGATTACATACTTCTATAACTTCAAGTAAGCAAAAAATAAAACCAAGATAAAGAAAAATTTCAAACTTGTCTGGGGTTTAAGCAAACAAATCCCATTGCATGCTTTGCAACCTGTACTTTTTCCTGTAAAAACCATGACATGGGAAACTTAGTATATCATAACTAATTTTAAAGATTATAATTACACACATGGAAAGAGGAAAAATTCTATATTTATATGTAGATATATTTTGTCAAAACACAGGAAGAAATAGATAAGACATCATTAGCAATTGCAGTGAATGCTAATTTTAGTATGGTTGCTCTGAACACACTTGAGTACGTTTAAGACTTTCCTTCAAAACCATCACATGAAATGCTAATTTATCTTTCACACAGGTAATGTGCATGCTTTTAACAAGATATACTAATCATATGAAAAAGTAAACAATAAAGATTTAAAGATTAAAACTTAGAATACTGTTGAAGATTAACTCCCTAGATCAGTGGCTCTCAACTATAATAAATCATTTTTGAAATAGGGTGCTGCTAAATTCACAGACATTACACAAGGATGCCTGGAGTCTAAAAAGGTTGAGGACCACTACCATAGATTATGAACTTTTTTTTTTTTTTTTTTAAATAAAATTACCAGAAACACTTGATAGTAATGCAAAGAGAGGTAAGTGGGATGAATTACTGCACATAAACAAGTAAACTGAAGTTCAACAGTTTAAAAACACACATGTAAGGAGCTTAGGGAGCATGTAGCTATTCCAAACATCTCCTAGAATAAAAATAAATCTACCATTTTGAGATGCCTAAAGATAAATGGAAGGAATAAAATTCTGTTTGTTTACTTCTGAACTGATGACTTTTTAAAACAAACTAAAGTGTAAGGTAATACTTACTCATAATGTTTACCATATGTATATGTATGCCAATGTTCCACACCAAGTTGTGTCATAATTAAGCATCTGTGCTGAAATACCGACTCTTGAATCTGGTGACAAAATTCTCATTGGCTCCAGTAACGAGAAAGAGATCACTACTCCTACAGTGCACTTCTCAAATAACTCAAGAAAACAGAACTATCTAGCTTCATTTTACTTGCTGTTCAAAAATAATTCTGACTTTGCAAATGCAGCATATTAAAAAAAGGAAGCTTTTATGGGGATTAGGCATTTCTTTTTAAGATGATAGACCAGATTAGATAGTCAAAATATTTTTAAAAGGATTCAAATTTGAAAGAGCAGCCTCTTGAAAATGATGGGAGCATCCAATACACTTGGTTATAGCTACATGAATAGAACTACCAAGGAAACTGTCTGAGCAACTTTCATCTAAATGAGTAACTTTAGACATGATAAACACTTAATGAAGAAATCACAATGATAAAGGTTAAGAAGGAGCCACAGAAATTCCATTTCTAGCAGCTCTAAAACTAGTCTAGATTAGAAGTGTCAAGCTCACCTTGTGCCCTGGACTGGATCCAGACCACGAGGCTTCTTGTGAGCTACACCTAGCCCAGGGTTAAGGACATGCACTGGCGGTGGTAGCAACAGCAGCTCCAGCATGGACTGCTGGTGGAGGTATGGCAAGCCTGTGGGTCAAGTGGCTACTTGCCACAAGGGCCCCATATTCTGTAACAGGCCCCACCCCTAATCCTGGCCCCAACTTCTGGTAGCCCTGTGGGCCAGATAGAGCTGCTCTATAGGCTGCATGTTTAACAACCTTGCTCTAGATGTTTCTACTAAGAGAAAAATGATTTTTGCAAAGCTCATGAGAGCAGAATCCAACAATGGGAAAAGTGATAGCTGGGAACTCAGTAAATTCTGACCTTGCAAAAGGATCCCATAGTGGCCCATATCATCTTATCTCTGAGATAAAACATCCTTCTTAAAGACTGATGTAGATGGAGCAAGACGACCTGGTCCACCAATGGCAGTGCACTGCCTCCCAGCCCGTTCTGCCATTACCCCCAACTCCTTGCAGAACCTGTGATTAACTGTAGCGTAACTTTTTATTTTCACTTTTTCAAAAGTGTTTGTGAATGCTAGTAGAGTTTCATTATACCATACAGACTATACACAGTACTATGTAGTGTCAGTCCTCATATTTTACTCTTACCTGCTATTAAATTTGCCTGGTTCTTCTTCTCTAGCATGATGAAAATCCAAACTCAACTCTGCATCAATTCCAAGACCACAATAATTATTCATTTGTACAATCTGAAAAATAAAAAAATGAAACTAAATACATATAATATAGCCTTGAAACTTTAATAAGAGAAGATTAAATCCTACTCTTAATATTTTCAACAAAACTGATAGCCACACGATTATTCTTCAAATCGCTCACATACAAACATGATACAGGAGTACCCTTCTCAGAGATAAACTGCATTCAAAAAGGGATATGGAGTTGACACTATATAAATCAACAGGCAAACATTGTTGTGGGGCTATTGTAATTATTCCTAAGGCCAATATTAAACAAAGGCGATTTGCAAGCAAGGTTAAAGTTAACACAACAGGTAAAATAAAATGTAGACAGGCACCTTCCCCTCTGGCTGGAGCTAATTTCCAATCCAGCCCTGTGTGCACCTCCTGAAAACAGAGGCATGCAGGGCAGTTTCATTTGGCTGTCAGCAACAGCACAGCAGCCTGGAGACAAATCTATAGAACTGGCCATCCCTCCAGGCTGCCCCACTGCCACCAACACAGCCAGGTGAAACTGCCCCAAAATGCTTCTGTTTCTAGGAGGTTCATGTGCAGTCACACCAAGAATCTATCTGATAAACCTAATGCCCACATACCTCCCTGTCCTGCAGCTGTTCCTGATCCAATCTACACACATCTCCTGGAAATAAGGGCACATGGCACTTTTAGCTGGCTAGGGTGGCAATGACACTGATCCTGTGGCACCCCTGGAAGGGTCTCATGGCACCCCAGTGGAAAACTACTGGCCAAACCTGTTGCCTGGAAGTTAGACATGTAGGTTCAGGCCATCTCTGGCTGAGGGGGCCTATAATCTGGATTTCCCACTCCCTGAATGAGTGCCCTAACTATTAGGCTTTAGATCTAAAACATGGGACAGCCCCCCTCTTCTTCCATTTCATACCTACTAGTGGTGGATTTTACTGGGCCACAATTTCATGACTTATGCATTTACTTGAGTAAGTATAAGGCATGACATATGCACCACACTAAAACACAGCTCTACTTCATATGCTCAGATGTGTGGCTGTTCAAGTACCAACAGCACCCAGACTAGGTTAAAAAACTGTGCTAAAGTGCCCCAAATACCAATCCTGGGGCTGGAGAAGTGCCATTTTGATGCAAAAGTGAAACAAACTACCTGTTTGTGTTTGTTGTCACAGGTGAGTCAATGGATTTCCCCCCCCACCTCGCCGCCAGTTTCACAGCTCTTGCCACCAGTCTTAAGAATGACTGTGCTTGCTTTCCTCCTCCAACCTGAAGAATGCCTTGCATTTGAAAGCCTGTCTAACTTTATCCTAACTATGCAGTTGGTCCAATATAAGATGCCATCCCAAAAAATCCTTGCCTATCTGATATCTAAAGATAATCTCTCCTCTCCTTCCCCCAGCAATAATTTTCCCCTCTGTGGTATCACTATATGGAAGCACTAGGCAAGCTGTCTGTGTATGGCAGGAAGTATTAACCATCATCACTCCTTGCTGACACCCATAATCTAAACTCACATCCTGGTCGCTTTTACCCCCCCACCATGTTATGAGAGATTTTCATTGTCAGGCAACATCAACATGGTTTCGACCTGAGCAACTCTTTAGCTATGATATGATCCTAATATTTCTAATTTCTTTTCGGTGTATTAAATTTCTTTTATACCTTGTTTCCTTGAAACTCCTGACTACTACCAATTTCTGCCTTCATCTTTTAGTGTCATATTAAGACACTCAAGACAAATCTGCTATTCCAATGCACTGTGTGTGACCTGAATATGTTAGCAGCCCGATTTCAATTAAAAATTGGAATCTAAGTGGCTAATAAAAGTATCATAAGCCATATAGAAGGCCTGTGATTTTCCAGCAACTGAATTACAAGTTACATTTTCTTGATTTATTGTTTTGCTATTATTCTCTTCTCTCTCATTTCTTTCTGTATTTTCTCTTAAACAGAGGACTTGAAACAGACCCCTGGAGTTACTCTCTACAACTGATATTCTCCTTTTTCCAAACAATGGCATTTGCCCCTGTGGAAGAAATTCACATTAGAATGGTTTATGCAAAAGATCCAATACAAAGAGAGAGGAAGAAAAGGAGACTTTAAAAAAAAAAGTTTACTTAACCTCAAATCTTAGCAAGTCTAGCAGATTTTCAATTATCAAATTTATTACCTGCTTAAAAAGTAAAATATTGATACTTTCCATTTAAATACAGTGACTGCAATTCCATTTTAGTTCTCCAAAATGTATTAATTTTGGGAAAGCCTATTGAAGGAAGCTCAAATACATTTATCCGGTAGCAAAAAAACTCCATTACAACTCAAGATGATGGAAGTATTATTCTTAGATTTACAGAAAAGTGGGGTTGGAAAGGGTCATCATCTAGTCCAGTGGTTCTCAACCTTGTTAGACTCAAGCCACCCTTGGAACATGACCGTTCTTAGCTTTCACTCATTTCTCGTCTACAGAAAAATGATAAAGCGATTCTGTTGCAAAAAAGAAAGATGAGAGTAGGTCAGAATGTTTTTGATACTATGAATTCCTATTTGAAATCTCTGGGTTTGTCCTGTGAAGCATGTATGTGTGCTTGCACAGCTAAAGTTCTAACATTGTGTGGTACCCTGCAGCACCTTAAAACTATCTCATGGCACACTGGATTGCCCTGCTCAAGGCTGGAGCATCCCTCTCTAAACCACCCTAAAAGCATTTAACTTGTTCCTGAAGTTTTCAAGAACTGTCACACCCAAAATACCAGACAAAATGCCTGAAATATGAAAAACATCCTTTAACTTGCCACAGATAAGCAGGGTGATAAGGGCACTGTCAATGCCCTGGCACTACAAGGACAGGAAATAATTTATTAAGATACCCTTGAGAGATCAGAGGAAGAGGACCATGTGAAGACAAAACCCCACTGGGTCCATGCCAGTCTGATCAAAAGGGTAAAATTCCTTCCAAATGTGGCGATCAGTCTGACCCTGAATGGAGCGGAGGGGCCAGACCCTCCAGGCAGGAACCTCTAGGTTGGGGTTTGTTTTGTTTTTTTTGGTTTGCTCGGTGTTTTTTTTTTAAGGTCCCAGCAGAGCATCAGCACACCACACTCAAAATCTCCACCTTTGGCTCTGGTCAACACCTAGTGCTTTTAAAGGAGGAGGGGATGAGAGGTAGTAAACAGGTGGGAAAAATTCCTTCCTGGGCCCATGTAGCAACCAGCAAAGCCCATAAGCATGGGATAGCCAGGTACCTTCCAAATTCACAAGTGTCACAATTAGAGAAGTGCTAAAACTAGAGAAAAAAAACAGTATCTTACAAATCTATAGAATAAATAATTGTGTAACCATTTTCTCTATAACAAGGGCATCGATTTCACTCTAATGAGCATGCAAAGCCTATCTTTTTTATACACAGCCTTAGTGAATATACTAGGCCATTTAGAAAAATATTAAACTGTTAACATCACAACAAAATAACACTAGAAATGATGGCAAAGATGACAGTAAACAGCATTAATTCCTTACTGGTATTTTAATAAATCAATGATTATAAAAAAAAAATACATAATACCTTTGGAGGCTCAGGTTCTAATGCACCATTTTCTGAATTTTCAACAGGCTCTGGAGCATCTAAAAGGATGGTCCAACGATCCATTAGTACTTCATCAGCTTCATCAACAGATATCAATATGGAGTAAGGATCTTCCCCACTGTAACCAGCTCCCCAGCGTAGCACCCTCCCCAGGTCATTTCCTGGCAAAGAAAAAGCAAGATGTTACACCTCATAAATTACACAACAGTGGGAGCATCTACATATTCACATTAACATGGAGCAATAAACTCTAGCACATATTGTTTTGGAGTTTACTGCTCCTGGGTGCTATGTTTACATGTGCACCTGGGACTGCAGGCATGTTGAGCTGGGTTAGAGCAGACCTGGCTGGCAAAAGAGCGGGGCGGGTCAGTCTGCCAGCCCGAGGCTGCTCTGACCCAGCTCAACAAGCTACTGAGGGGCTGGCTGGGGCACAAGGGTGCTTCAGTGCAGGGCTAGCCAGCAGGCAGCCCTGACCCTGAAGCACCCTTGAGCCCCAGGCAGCTGGATCAGTGTCTACATGTGTGTTGCTGCACATGAAAAAAACTCTGCAGCAGGATAGTACTTGTATTTACAAGTACTAACCTCCTGCAGAGTTTATTAGTTTTCTGTGGCTTAATAGGATTACATGTGCAGATGCCGAGATGTTTACTGTGGAACTTGTTAGGCAATACTGCATCTCTCATGTAGATGTGCCCAGTGTGAAGGAAATCGATTCGTTTTAATTGCTCAAACCATAAGGAATGTTATTCAATGATAATTATTTTTACTCTGACATTAATTTTAAGTACTTTGTTTCTATAACTTACACATGGAAAAACATTTAAGTAAACGTTGCTCTGTTATTCTCTTGGTAAAGCAATGAGACAATGATTTGTGAAGGCATACATATATGAAATAGAAAACATGTCTTGTGGATCTACCCCTGACACCCCCTGGGGTCAGTACAGCAGGCAGGTGCATTTCTGGTCCCTTGCTTCCAAGTATCTCACCTGGCATACCTTTGATGTCAATAACATACTGGTGAGACAGTCCATGGAGGCCAGGAATAGCTTCTCTGGTGATCCCCTCTTTTGATTCTGTCCCTGGGTTTCTCTGCCTGAAATTCAGTCCAGGGATCTCTATGCTTTTCTAGGGAGGCAGTCTCCGAGGCCTCAAAATACTTGTTGGGACTTAAGCCTTCCCAGCTTTGGCAATCTTACTTCCTTAATTAGAAACTGTGCTAACAATACTGTGAAATACAGTAGGATACACCTCATTTGAAAGAAGAGAAGAAAAAAAAAATGAAGTGCCACTTGAGCTACAAAGCTGATAATAGGGGCCATATAACTCAAGAAAAAAAAATGAAGAAAACAAGCACCTAATTTTTTAACATGCTTAATATTCCCTATTAATGGTACTCAAATAAATTTACTTCCAGTATAACATTTCTCACCTGTTCCTAAAGGTAAGATGGCAACAGACGGTTCTGAACAGGCAAGTTTGTATCTTATTTCTTCCAGTGCACCTAGCACCCAACCAACGGTACCATCACCGCCACATATCAAAACTCGAAAGCATGGAATTCGAGAGAATGTATGAAACCTTCATTTACAAACAAAAAGCAGAAAAAAAATTACGTGTTTTGTATTATATTATAATCTCCCTTATTACTTTTCTTTTTTTTTTCTTTTTTTTTTTTAAATCCCTCACATAGAATAATACAGTCAGCCTCTGAGAACCATAAAGCCCCCTGGGGCTTGCTGGGCTGTGCTGCCTGCCTGGCAGGGCTGCTTTGGCTCCTGGCTCCTACCACTGCTCTGGTGGGTGGGTGAAGCTCCTCCTCCACGGCAGGGCAGGGCATGGCATAGCGAAGGTAAGTGGCTGCAGGGTCACACCCCTGGGCCCATGGCTTAGACTTAAGGTGTGCCCTGCCTGCTCCTGGACTGAGCTCAGAGATGACCCACCCACCCGCCTCTTTTGTTGCGAGGTGCAGCCTTGAGAAACTGCTGAGTCCCCACCACACCTTGCAGGGGGTTGGAAGTGCCCCACTGGTGATGGGCTGGGCAGGGTACCTCACAGGCCAAGCCGGAGCAACCCTACACAGGTCAGGCCAGGGGCTGCCATACTGCTTAATCATTTGATCTGTTGTAATTACAATAGCTTAAATGAATATTCATTTAATTGGTATTTACATCCCTAGGCTCTACGTTAGCTATGACCACAGAAGACAGACCTGGGAGTCATTAAGGACAGTTCACTAAAAATATCAGCTCAGTGCTCAGCATCCCTCAAAAAGGCAAACAATATTAGAAATTATGAAAGGAATTGTAAACAAAACTGAAAGTATCATTATGCCCCTTTATAAACCCATGTTGTGTCCACACCTTGAATACTGTGCCCAGTTTTGGTCCTCACACCTCAGAAAAGTAAAGAACTAGAGAAGGTATAAAGAAGGGCAATAGTGGTATGGAGGGGCTTCCATATAAGGAAAGACTAAAAAAACTAGGTCTATTCCGTTTGGAAAAGAGATGATTGAGGGAGGACCTGATAAGGGTTTACAAAACTTTAAAACAGTGAAGAGAAAGTAAATAGAGACTTATTTACCATCTCTCACAATCCAGGAATTAGGGGTCACAACATGAAACTAGTAGGTAGTAAGTTTAAAACAAACAAAAAGTAAGTTTTTTCACACAACATGTAATTAACATGTGGAACTCATTGCCATAAGAAGTTGTGGAAGCTGACAGTTTGACCAGATTCAAAAAGGGATTGGACAAATATCTTGGAGGAATGGGGCAACAGTAGCTACTGAGCATGGGAATTAGCAGTACAGCCTTTGAATCAGGATTTCCTGGACCTTAAATATTGGAGGCTGCAAGCAGGAGAGAATTAGGGATAAAACCCTGATCATACCCTGCTCATTCTCCCTTTCAGCATGCACTTTGTCACTGTGCGACACAGGGTACTGAGCAAGATGGATCTATGGTATGACCCGGTAAATGTCAGCTCTTAGGGTACTTATACACCAGCACGAAGGCTGCTCTGATGCACTGTAATTACAGTGCGTTGGAGCAGATTCGATTAATCCAGTGTGCTGGAGCATGGTAATTACCACACTCCAGCAGCCTCCCACGTCTCAGGTATCAGTGTTCCTGTGCTTCCAAATGGCAGTAGGAGCACTTTATCTAAAGCTCATTGAATGAGCTTTAGGTCAAGCACCCTCACCATCATTTTGAAGTGTGGGGGCACTGATACATGAGACGCTGAAGCACTTTAATTATAGAAGCTCCTGGGGCTGCTCTAATTAAAGCACCACCACCCCCACCCCTTCCCCCAGAGCATGTGTAAGAGTGCCCTTTAATGACCTACATAAGAACATAAGTCACAGAATTGGGTAATACAAAGACATGCCCCTATCAGAATCTGGACCCTTTCGTACTATATTATAACACATGCATCAGAAGCTTTTTTGTTCTCTCTTCCTTTTTATGATGCTTCAAACGCTCACATTTGTTTAAAAAAGGTTCATCGCATCAGAACTGGAAAGCGCATCCTTGGGTGTCATCTGGCCAACCTAGTAAGGAGGGCTTCATACTTGGTTCCATGGGGGATTGTAAACAAAACCCTCCAGCAAAAAAAGCAAACAATCCAGAGGAGAAAGGACTGAAACAGTAGCTCGACTCTGAGATAGGGTCAGAAACCATAGGACAGCAACAAGTGGTGCAAAAGGGAAATGAGTAAGCAGAAATGCAAAATAGGTCCAATGACAAACATGAGAAGTATGGGAAATGAATAACATGAGCGGGAATCACAGCCTGGGGAAATAACTGTGATCTGAAAGGTGTCAGAGAGCTGGTATAACATCAACATTGAGGGCTACACACTGTTTCAAAAGGACAGGGTTGGGAGAAAAAGGTGGTGGTAACTCCTTGTACGTCAAAAACACCTAGATCTGTTTTCCGGTCCAGGAAGAAGATAGCAAATCAGAATGCCTTTAGGTGAAGATAAAAGATACAGTGCCAATATAATGGTGAGGATTTATTATAAGCCATAAAGTCAGGAGGATGATGAGGATGAGGCACTTCTCAAGAAGATGACAAAATTATCTAGAAATTATGAGACAGTACTGATGGAAGACTCCACTTTTCCAGACATCTCCTAGAAGAACAATACAGCCAAACAAAATGTTGAGCTGGTTCCTAACTTGTATGGAGGACAACTTGCTATTCCAGAAGCTTGAGGATACAACTGGGGTATCATGCATCTTGGATCTTGTCCTGACCAACAGGGAAGAAGTCGTGGAGGATATGAAGATGATGGGAAATTTGGGAGGAATTGATTAGGATATGATAGAATTCTAGATCCTGAGACAGGGAAAGTATGAGGTCAGCAGAACAAGGACATTAGATTTCAAAAGGTGGATGTCACCTGAATAAAGGAGGTGCCATGGGAAAGCAGACTGAAGAATAAAAGCCCCATGAGGGCGGGATGCTTCTAAATGGCACAGGATTGGAAGCCCAGCAAGAAACTGTTCTAACATGATGAAAGCACAAATAAGAATAGATTCATAGATGTTAGGGTCGGAAGGGACCTCAGTAGCTCATTGAGTCCAACCCCCTGCACAGGCAGGAAGGAGTGCTGGGTTCACATGACCCCAGCCAGATGCTTATCTAACCTCCTCTTGAAGACCCCCAGAGTAGGGGAGACCACCACCTCCCTTGGGAGCCCATTCCAGATTTTGGCCACTCTAACTGTGAAGAAGTTCTTTCTAATGTCCAGTCTAAATCTGCTCTCTGCTAGCTTATGGCCATTATTTCTT